GGCATGTTCCTAATTTCGTATCAAGTACTTGTACCGAATCTCATCATTAATCATATGAGATATGTGCTGGATATAAGTCAAATAATGTTCAGAATTTAGACCATTCCCGGAAACCAATGAATATAGTGGCTCTGGTGGCTGTACCAGTAGCGTCTATTTGAATTGACTCTCCGCGCAATATTTTGTCGCATCATTGGAAGTATTTTCCTATCAATAACAATCAAACTTTGCTTTGCAATATTGACACACAACGTCCATTGGTCCAATAGCAATGATTTTCTGTGAACTGTAATCTGTTTCAACGTTATAATTGAAAGCAGGTCGATGGAAGTTGAATACAACCTTTTCATATTGTTAATTTCGATTCAAACGATTCCGTTCAACTTAATTCCGAGCTTCGAGTTGCTTGTCAGTTCGATTTGCTCTTCTATTTCTTTGACTTGATGCCTTGCGAGTTCTGCGATTTAATTTTGTATATCTAGAACGGGTAGCTAGCATTTTCAAAAACGATATTTCAACTGTGAATCGAAGAAAACTATGTATTCTTTTTTATAAGCCAATATACTACGTGCTATGTTAGTAACGTGTATGTTAGTCTAACTTACCAAAATTTTATATTGAATTGAAGTTTCAATATTAGTCGTGTTAGCTCTGAACTAACCCTGATGTGTGATAGGATAAGCAGTTCTTTCACATCCCTTTTCTGATAATTAATAATTATTTCTTACTCATATTATTAATTGAATATTCTTAAATTTTCTGATTTTACATGCAATTTTCAAAATTATTTCCAGACAATAACAAACACAACAAAAAAAGTGAAATCGGTCTAACCGTTGACTCTACATTTTAGTTAGAAAACGTTTGTATGGAAAAAGAAATGTGGTGTTTTTAAAGTTTTACCAGCAATTATTCAAATTTTTCTCGTCGTAAGAACCATCCTTTGACTTCAACAAGCATTTAAAAAAAATTTGCAAAATTAGTTCAGGCGTTGTTGAGTTATGCGCTTACCAAGACATTTTGCGATCCATTTTTATATTATAGATATATTTTATATATATATATATATATATATATATATATATATATATATATATATATATATACGCAACAATAATAAAAAAATAGATGAGAATTCTCAGAATTTGTTTCATGTTCACTCGTAAATAGTATAAATACATTTAGAATAAGGATGAAGAAATAAAAACCTTAGCTTATAGAGCAACCACAAGAGTTTATTTACTGTCAATCCTTAAAAGCAAAATATCGTATATATATATATATATATATATATATATATATATATATATATATATATATATATATATATATATATATATATATATATATATATATATATATATATATATATATATATATATATATATATATATATATATATATATATATTACATTTCAAAAGTTTTGAACTCGACTGGGACTCAAAACTTTTGAAATGTAATTTCAATTCTCAATTTTCACTATAAAAATATTAATACAATTATTCATGTCCGCACGTGGTGAGGTTAACACGACAAAATTACTATATATATATATATATATATATATATATATATATATATATATATATATATATATATATATATATATATAAATATATTTGTAAAATGATATGAGACAGCTCATATCATCTGTATAAAGTTAAATTATTTTTGTATATAGTTACTGTAAAGAAGAATTAGAATTATAGATTCAGATGATATACTTCAAGTAGTCAATTTAGTAACACTGGAGGATATTAGGTCAGATCAAAATAGTATGGAAATTGATGAAAGCGATAGCACATTGAAGGAAAAGAATGGTCTTATTCACAGAAAATGGCGCAGTAGGGAAAGAGTATTCATTTAGAAAGTTTTCGCAATCAATATTATAAAAAAATTCATTTACAATATGGTCATATTAGACCGAGACATATTTCATCTGAAATGAGGTCTTTTTACTATTGTTATAACTTAGATAACATCATAAAAGAGCTCTGCAATAATTGTGAAATATGCAAGAAAAATAAAACACGGCAATGCCGAACTTTGGGCATCTTATATCAGTTAGGTCCAGCTGAAGAGTCTTATGAAATAATGTCTTTAGATACAATCAGTGGTTTTTCTGGTTATGATCTTCAAAAAAGTATTTACACATAAAAAAGTACATAAGGTGTCTAATGTAATATATAAAGTGAATTCAGGTCATAGAAATAAGTGTGAATATGTATATATTAACAAGTTATCCCCTCATTTCAAGCTCCGAGGGGGGGAGATGTAAAATGATTTGAGAATGCTCATATCATTTGTATATAGTTACTGTTGAGAAAAAAAGAATTATATCTGTGATTGGGTATCTTTCCAGAGGAAAGGAGAAACTTCATTTCAACAGGCAGAATTGAAGAGATTTTTTTCAAACTAAGAGAGCTATAAATGAGATGTAGTTGTAGAATAATAAAAATAGATAGTGTCAAGATTGTAAAGGATATAAGGACTTTAAATTGATTTTTCTTTTAGGTAAGTTGAACTCGATAATGTTAATGAATATCGTAAATAAATGTTATATTATAGCATAGAATGGGATATTTAAGAAGATGAACATTTATTCCAAGAAGGATAATGGAGAATAATTGAGATAAAGCAGAATGAATGTTTTATTGTTAATTTTCTTAAATATTTCCTTCAGGGCCATAAGCACAAAAATTTCATTTCGTCAAAAATATCGCCAAATAGGCCCCTGTAATATGAGAACAATCACGAGCGTTTTACTCACGCAACGTATTCACATTTGGAAACAACATATGTGACATTTTTAAATAGACGTTGCCATTGATTAGATACCTTCGGGTATTGAAGAAATATTAACGTTCGATGCTTGGTGTGTCTATAATATGAGTGGTGTTTTCTATTAATTCCTGTAGATGTAATTGTGAAGTATTCATTCCTTCACGGTATTCCACTTGTCATAAGAAGCCATAAAAATATTATTATTTTTATTGAATCAGTTATAGTGAAAAACGAAAAACTACTTAGTTTTATTTAAATGATATTTTTAGATTTTCATCAAGTATCGGCCCAATCGAATAATGAAGATTCTTGGTGATTGAAATCGTTGCCTCACTTCGATGGACGTGGTGCAACTGACGAGTGCCTTGCAGAACGAAACAACTGTCTCGAACTAACACTTCGATGTTATACCATCAGGTATAACATCGATTTCAATATTTCTCTAACATTGATCCCTTGAAGGACGATGGATGCATCACATCGTACACGTTCACACATTTCTAGCTCTACTATAACAATTTTTTGGTTAATTTGAATTTATCGAATGAATATTCTAGTGTTCATTTCTTTTATATATATATATATATATATATATATATATATATATATATATATATATATATATATATATATATATATATATATATATATATATATATATATATATATATATATATATATATATATATATATATATATATCTATATGATATGAATAAGAAATATGATAGGATAGTATTTCGTACATATCAGATTAGTTCGATAATTGTGCATTAAGAATTTATATATATATATATATATATATATATATTTATATATATATATATATATATATATATAAATATATATATATATATATATATATATATATATATATATAAATTTATTTCTTTTCAGAAAAATGTATGCTCAGCTCAGGACAAATTCCATGATTTTTTTGACCCATTCACAATCCTTGTCACAGCTGCTCACATTTGTGAGAGTCACTTCCCTAGTGTGAACTCGCATATTTTACAATTTAACATATAGAAAATATTGAATTGCAACAGTTGTTCAGGAATCAGGTTTTTCTGATTTGAATTATTCATAACCGGCATAGTAGCCACGTTGTTCTCGATTTGGGTTGTAAATAAGGGGAACACTCGTTCTGAAACGTCTATTTCAGCCAACCATAGAACCTCATTGTCATTCAAACAAAGAATTTCTCTGGAATATCTGGCAGCAATTCTTTGAGGACGAATCTTCGCGATGAGCTAAATTTCTTGTTGCAAAATTACTCTTGATGAGATTGCTTATGTGAATTATTGTGATGACCTTATATGATGCAAAATATGACACTGACTACGTGCCAGATGATCGCTCAATTGAGTATGCTTAGACACTGAGGCAATAGTTATATGGAGCTTCCTTCAAATGTGATGACTGTTGAAGATCCAACACTAACTGAATTAAGAGTGGAGCGAATTTACCTTCGGAGTACTATCGTTAATAATGCAAAGTACATGTTTTAACACGTATATTTCGAAATGTGACATCACGAAGTCTACCCTTGTAACTAATGACTAATGTCAAACCTCGTCGACCCCCTCGAATTTATGGATGGCAAATTAATTTGTTCTGAAACTCTGAAACGCATTCTATTCATCCTGTTGATGATGCTTTCGAGTGAATCCGCTACTCTAATTTTGATGAAATAATTGATATTTACAATACAGAAGTCATTGCTATGTACTCGGATAATCAAAATGTTCCTCTTCTTCTACATATATATATATATATATATATATATATATATATATATATATATATATATATATATATATATATATATATATATATATATATATATATATATATATATATATATATATGTAGAACTCGTGTAGACCTCGGTAGCGGTCCAAAGCAGTAGGACGAAGACCTGGGTTCAAATCCCAGTCGAGTTCAAAACTTTTGAAATGTAATTTCAATTCTCAATTTTCGCTGTAAAAATATTAATGCATTATTCATGTCCGCACGTGGTTGGTTAACACGAAAAATTACTGTACTATATTCATCATTGTGCCTTACGGAAAAATTAATACATCTGGGAGGATGGGTAGGTGTCACTCACTTTCGCCTGCAAGTATCGAAGACTACAATCCGTGCGTCGAACAACTAGCTTGACGAATAAACGAGTTCTTAGATATGAATTGAAGTTGCAACTCAATGTATCGACATCGGTAGTTAAGCGGTCCAAAGCATTGGGGCGTGAACCTGAAGACGTGGGTTCGAATCCCAGTCGAGTTCAAAACTTTTGGAATATAATTTCAATTTTCAATTTTCACTATAAAAATATTAAGGAAATAAAGGTTTTGTGCTTTTGGCACTGAACGAAATGTTCAAGAAAATGAACACTAGAACATTCGTTCGAATAATTTAAATTAACCAAATGAATGTTATATTAGAGCTAGATATGTGAACGTGTACGATATGATGCCTCCATTATCCTTCAAGGGATAAATGTTAAAGGGATATTGAAAACTGATGGAAGTCCGAGACATATGTTTGGTTCTGCAAGGAACTCATCAGTCGCACTACGTCCATCGAAGTGAGGCAACGATTTCAATCCCCAAGCATCTTTCTTATGACTCCAAGTGGAATACCGTAAAGAAATGAATAATTTAAAATTTCATCTATAGGAATCAGTAGAAAACACCTCTCAGACTATAGACACACTAAGCATCGAACGTTCACATCTCTTCTATATCCGTAGGTATCTACTGAATTGCAATATCTATTTCACGAATGTCATCATATGAAGATTTCAAATGTCAATATCATGCGTTAGTAGTATGCTCGTGATTGATCCCATAAATAAATATATGACAAGTTCCTTGCAGAACGAAACATATATGTCTCGCAATTCCATCAGGTGTTGCATCCCTTATCCCTTGAAGGATAATGGAGAGATCACATCGTACACGTTCACATATCTAGCTCTACTATAACATTCTCTTGATTAATTTGAATTTTTCAAATTAATGTTCTAGTGTTCATTTTCTTAAATATTTCATTCAGTGCCATAAGCACAAAAAATTTCATTTTTGGTGTGTCTGTAATCTGAGGAAGGTGTTTTCTACTGATTTCTATAAATGGAATTGTGTAGTACTCATTACTCTACGATCTTCCGCTTGAAGTCACAAGAAGATGCTTGGAGGTTGAAATCGTTGCCTCACTTGGACGTGGTGCGACTGACGAGTTTCTTGCAGAACGAAACATATATATCCCTTGAAGGATAATGGAGACATCACATCGTACACGTTCACATATCTAGCTCTACTATAACATTCTCTTGATTAATTTGAATTTTTCGAATGAATGTTCTAGTATTCATTTTCTTAAATATTTCATTCAGTGCCATAAGTACAAAAACATTTCATTTCTTATATATATATATATATATATATATATATATATATATATATATATATATATATATATATATATATATATATATATATATATATATATATATATATATATATATATATTTTTTTTAAAGTTTTTAGCATTAACAGGTATGAAAAAGTTTATTTTTGTTGACGTTCGTTGTTATATTACAACTTTTTTAAGTTATATTTAAAAGTTGTAATATAACAACGAAACGTCAACAAAAATAAACTTTTTCATATTAAAAAAGCCTGTTAATGCTAAAACTTTCAAAATAAATATCTCAAACAGGCAATAAATCAATTTCAAGAAATATATATATATATATATATATATATATATATATACAAGTTTGAAATATACGTTGATATTTTTTTTGAGTAAGTATATGTACCTATTTTCACGTAAAAATAATTTCATAGATCAATATACTCACCAGGATATCATCCAGATCGTTAGACATATAATCGTTTCATATTCCTTTCTCACCTGAAAAATAAGAAAAGCAATCAATAAAACAAACTCTGCCTGCCTAAGCATACCCAATATCACAGTGAAATTATTCTGTATATCTTGCACTAATATATATTATTCAATAATTCTCATTGAGAAAGTTTCATAATAGGCAATCGATGTTACAGATACAGAAAAACATATATATATATATATATATATATATATATATATATATATATATATATATATATATATATATATATATATATTATTCAATTATTTCACCAATAATAATACTAGAGATTTTTACAAAACTTTCAGGGAAAACTAAGCGCACAGCATTTGCTTCAAAAATCCATATGGTACGTTGAAAACTAACACAAAAAATAACAACAAAATATTGGCCGAATATTTCAAAACTCTTCAGAACTGTAATCCACCCCATGAAAAACTTAAGTTTGACTTTTCGGTGTTTACGCATGCAGACTCGCAAGCTTCTGATATTGAAGAGATTACAGAAATCATCAAACAACTCAAAATTAACAAAGTAGCATGAGAAGATGGGATTATTGCTCTGGAAATAACGATCCTATTTCGAAAAAAACGTTATTTTCATAATATATTATCAGAAATCTGGAGGATGGAACAGATACCAGAGGATTGGAAATGCGCGCTGATACATCCATTGTACAAAAAGGGAGACAAAATAGACATCATTAATATACAGAGGAATTTCCATACTACCTTAATTAAAAAATTTAGTCTCAAAATTAGGTTGCTCAACTAAACTTACTCAAAATTTAGGTTGCTTACAAAATAGTCTCTAAAGCACTCCTCAACAGAGTAGAACACCAAGCGGATCCTCTAAATGGAGTATACCAGGCTAGATTCAGAAAAGGCCGATCATATGAAGTCAATATTCATTAACTTCAAGAAAGCATATGAAATTATATGAATATATTATAAAACAGACACTAACAGGTACAATCTCCAAAGTAAAATTCATGGGCGAAGTATCAGATACCTTTAAATTCAAAACTGGTGTGCTACAGTGGGACGGACTTTCGCAATCCTTTTCAATATTGTTTTAGAAAAGATCATTAGGAGAATGGGAATCTCATGTAAAGGGCGCACTAGTGGGTATCATAAAATAAAATCGAATATATGTCAAATGCCTCGCCTTTGCAACCGATATTGCTATCATCACAAACAACAGAACTGAAGCCATTCTCGCCGCAGAAAAACAACATGAACTTGCGAAGAAACCGCGTCAAAAATTCCTTATGATAAAACCAAATACATGGAAAGAAACCCAAAAAATAAATCTCCTCTTATCACAAAACATGGTGAATTTCTGCAAGTCGGCCATTTTCAATACCTCGGAGAATTTATAGAGTCCTCAGGTTTGAACCGAATCCCTAATTAACAGAGAATTACCAAGCTCCAACGGGACTACAAGCTAACATGGGCGTACTATAACTTCATTTAAGCGTTAAAAACGTCATTTCGAGAGGTGCCAAATTGAGTAATAACACAACGATTTTTATACAATGATATTAAATATTGAAATCGGTGCATACATTCAGGGGGAAGCGTAAGACAGTTCACTGTATCGTATCACAGGGTACTCTTCAGTACAAGAACATAAGAAAGAACATTTTATTTTCAAGAACGAAGGCAGACTTCAATCTTCAAGTATCGTCTTGTCGATCATAAGACAGGAATATACTTATAGATCGTATGCCTATATAATTCATAGATTGAGCTACATACATCTCAAATCTTAAGGATCAATAAGAAGCACATGAATATATCTGACATTGAAAGTTTCACAAGTCCTTATCAATTAAGATACTATTCATTACAGCTCTAGTTTCTAAAAAATTTCATCTGATTTGATGAAATAATGCCATCTAGTTGCTGTTGTAGAAACGCTCGCTGATCATTCATTGAAATTTCCTCAAGTGGCCACGAAAAACATTAAAGAAATCGACTACAAGAAAAGAATTCTGTAGTTATCGTGCTCATATCATCGCACTTGTTAATATTCGATATAATATTCAATATTGAATTTATACTATAACTTTCTTTCGATGATTTAGTGACTAATTATTTGAAAGAACATTATAGCAGAGCAGGTTATTTGGAACATAATCAATTTTATGTCCTCATTATCCTTCTAGGGATAAATGTTAGGGATAGAAAAGAATATTGAAATCGGTGCAAATATTTATTGGAAGCCTGAGACAGTTCACTGTTTCGTACTACAAGTTACTTTTCAGTTAGGCCTCGTCCAACAAACGAAATAGTTGTATATATATATATACGAAATATAAAAGGCGATTATAGCCAGCTCTGCTCTAATGTTCTTTCAAAAAATTGCTCAAAAACTTATGTGAAAAAATAAAAGTATAGCTTCAATTTGTATATATATATATATATATATATATATATATAAATATTAGTTTTGACAAAGTTGTAATATAACAACGAAATCAACAGAAATAACTTTTTATATATATATATATATATATATATATATATATATATATATATATATATATATATATATAAATGATTGAAGTTACGCTTTACCAAGAAAATTATCGTATTGATTCAAAACGTTGTCTACCCCTGAAGAGAAATAAATGCAAATATGAACTTGAATTCACTGTTTTGATTTGTTCAGCAGTCATTATGTATCGAATACAATTGAAATCCGCAAGCGATTCAATTATGTATTTCTATCATAGCATTAATTAGGAGAATTATGACCAAAAGCATGAAAAGTCATGAATATTATAGATATTGGTTTACAAATTTCCTAAAAAAGCTACTACAAACTACTACAGAAACAATAGCTGGAATCATCCAAAGTCTTCATAACTTCTGCTCACTCAATTCATGAAGAATAAATCGAAAAATTTCAACCAAGTTAACCATTAGTAAGAAAACACTTTCACAAACAGTGTTTCCGCTTAGATTGAGTGAGAAACTAATGAAAATATAATTTATGAGGCCGATACTTGGCGGCAATTATTGTCCATAGTCAAATCAATAACCAAATTTCAGTCATATATTCAAACGACTAGGTGTGACATAAGTTAAGGGGAATACTTCTCAATAAAATTGGGAAATCAATTATCAGTACAGTTTTCGCATACAATGTCGCATCCGAAGAAGAACTATAATTTCGAAACTGGAAATATATATTTCAGGTAATAATTTCAACACCCTGTCACGGGGTTTCGCTTATCTCTTGGTGAAACATTATGTTAAAAATAATAAATTAAATTAACACACTTGACTTAAGTTTCACTGAATATATTGAAAACTCTACATATGTTTCGAGTGGTTAATCCATTATCTAGAGTATACAATATTACTAATATTGAAATCAGT